GACCAGCTCCAGCCAATCCCGGGGTGGACAAGAGCAAATATTATCAGTACCATAGAAGCCATGGCCATCTGACTGAAGGCTGCGTCCACCTCAAGGACGCCATCGAGACCCTCATAAAAGGGGGGAGACTCGCCCAGTACCGGCGAAACGACACTCCTCGTTGCGACGCCCGTGAGACAAGAGAAGCAGAGGAGGATGCCCAACCATCTAACGAGTCGGTCCCCATCCAAACCGCCTTCTCCGTCACTAGACCCGAGGACTTTTACGTCCCCGAACACTTGCAAGAGTCGTTGTCGACGCACAGCAGATGGGAGCACTTTCCCTCCGCCGTGGTCATCAATGGTGGAGGGTTCAACGACCTGACCATAAATTCAGCCAAGAGGAAGCTGGATGAATTGGTCGACTCTGCACCTCCTCAGGCGGTGACCTTTGAAAGGGTGAAGGGTAGATCGAAGCCTATCACCTTTTACCTCGAAGAGCTCCCCGAAGGCGCCCCCAACGCGGTCATTCCTCTGCTGATAAGAGCGAGAATGGCCAAATTTGACGTACATCGCGTCCTCGTCGATGAAGGAAGTTCCGTCGACGTAATGTACAGCTAACTATTTCGAACCCTGCAGCTCGACGACTCACACCTCTCACCTTATGTGGGGTCAGACCTGCGGAGCTTTAACGACTCGACTTCCAAACCATGGGGATACATCAGGCTCATGGTTACCTTTGGTGAGGATACGGCAACGAGGCAGGTCAAGGTGCGCTTCCTCGTCATCGACTGCCCCTCCCTCTACAACTGCATTCTGGGAAGGCCGACGTTGGCAGAACTGACCGCGGTACCCTCTACCGTCCACTTGAAGATGAAGTTTTACACCAAGAGAGCACGGGTCGCCACCATCTAAGGGGACCTGGCCGCTGCCCAAAGGTGTTTCAACACGGCATCCAAGGGACGCGACACGGTCGACACCGGTACAAAACCCGCCAAGAGAGCTGCAACGACACGACCAGAGCCTCAGAAGACAGAGCCTGTCAAGGCAGAAGAACAAAGAGCTCTCCCAAAGGTCGACTCCATAGCCCTGGATACCCGCTTCGACCAGGATGAGCCTCCTAGCGGCAAGCAATTCCCCCTCTGACCAATTTCGGACGGAGACTTCGAACTCGTCCCTCTTGGCGAGGACGTGAACAAAGGAGTGAAGATCGGTATCGGCCTCCCCGACTTGGCGACGAAGCAAATCAAAGCCTGCTTGCGCGAGAATGCTGACTTATTCGCATGGAGCGCCGCAGAGATGCCCGGACTCGACCCCGAGGTCTCCTGTCACCGCCTTGCCATGGATCCAGCCGCTAGGGCAGTAGTACAACATAGACGTAGGAAATCTCTGGAGAAAACAGAGGCTGCTGAAAAAACTGTAAAAGACCTCTTAGAGGCAAATTTTATTTCTGAAGCCCGGTATTCAACCTGGCTGTCAAACGTTGTACTAGTCAAAAAGAATAATGGAAAGTGGCGAATGTGTATTGAGTATATTGATCTTAATCAGGCATGCTCGAAAGATGCATTTCCTTTACCCAACATAAACATGTTGGTCGACAACTCGGCCGGTTATAAAATACTGTCGTTTATGGATGCCTATTCAGGCTATAATCAAATCCAAATGGCCGTAAGCGACAAGCATTGCACTGCTTTCATGACCAGCTCGGGCAACTATTACTATAATGTGATGCCCTTCGGTCTAAAAAACGCAGGAGCAACATACCAACGTATGATGAACAAAGTGTTCCACAACCAAATCGGGGACATGCTCGAGGTGTATATGGACTATATGATCGTTAAATCCCGAGCAGACACCGACCACGCCGCTCACCTCAAAGAAGTCTTTGCTCAAGCAAGACGATGCAAAATGAGATTTAACCCCGAGAAGTGCACGTTCGGGATCAAGGCGGGAAAATTCCTCGGCTTCTACCTAACGAAACGTGGAATTGAAGCCAACCCCGACAAATTTTGGGCCTTCTCCGACCTCCCCAAACCCACATCAAAAAATCCATACAAGTCATGAACGACATGCTCACCTCATTATCCCGTTTCGTTGCGAGATCCGCTCAACACGCTCTCCCCTTCTTCAAGCTCCTTCGCAAAGAAGCAGCCTTCGAATGGACCGAGGAATGCGAGCAGGCGTTGCTCCATCTCAAACAAAGTCTATCCCAACCTCCCGTGCTATCACGACCCATCGATGGGGAACCTTTGTTCTTGTACTTGGCTGTCTCGATCGAAGCCATCAGTGCGGCTCTCATTCGTGATACGCCCGACGGACAAAAGCTAGTATATTTCACGAGCAAAGCGCTGCAAGGGCCCGAGGTCGGATACCAACAGATTGAGAAAGTGGCTCTAGCCCTCGTCAATGCGGCGAGGAGACTCAGACACTATTTCCTCGCGCACATAATCATAGTACGAACTGACCAGCCAGTGAAACAACTCTTAGGTCGACCAGACATGGCAGGCTGAATGTTAAAGTGGTCCTTGGAACTCTCTGAGTTTGACATTCAATACGAGAGTAGGAAAGCCCTAAAGGCACAAGCTCTGGCCGATTTCGTTACAGAAATGGCCGCTCACAACCCCCCCGCAGGGAAAGAGTACAAGTGGACCATCTTCATTGACGGAGCGTCCAGCTCATCCGGAAGCGGCGCGGGGATCCTCCTAGAAAACGAGAAAGGTGTGGTGATCGAGCACTCGCTCACCCTCTCTTTCCCCACTTCAAACAACCAGGCAGAATATGAGGCCCTGATCGTAGGACTGAGGCTAGCTGAGGACCTAGGGGCACGTGAAGTACAAATTTTCACTGACTCTCAACTCGTTGCCTCCCAAGTCTAAGGAAGTTACCAGGCCAAAAACAACAGCCTCATCGAATACCTAAACCTAGTCAGAGAATACATGAAGAAGTTCGACCGAGCAGAAATATCGCACGTTCCGCGCGAGCAAAACACAAGGGCCGATATACTTTCAAAACTCGCAAGCACCAGAAAAAAAGGGCGGGAACAAATCCGTCATACAAGAATCCATATCCTGCCCAAGCATCAAAAAAACCTCGATCCCTCTCGAAGTGAATGCCATCGGGGACGCTTCGTGCTGGATGACCCCGGTGTTCAACTTCCTGACGAAGGGCGCGAGCTCCCTTCAAACCGAACAGAGGCGGCCGCGACCAAACGCCGAGCGTGCTCCTACGTGGTGATCGAGCACAAACTGTATCGTAGGGGATTTTCCATCCCACTCTTAAAGTGCATCGACGAATCCACAGCCCCTAAGGTACTACGGGAAATTCACGAGGGCATTAACGTCCAGCACATGGGCGACAGGTCCCTAGCAAGGAAGGCTCTGCGAGCAGGGTACTACTGGCCGACGATGCAACAGGACGCCAAAGACCACGTCAAGAAATGCGACAAGTGCCAGAAACACGCCGACATGCATCTCGCTCCCCCTCACGAGATGAACATACTCTCATCCTCGTGGCCATTTGCCTGGTAGGGGGTGGATATCCTCGGACCATTCGTGCAAGGCATGTACCAAAACAAGTTCCTTATTGTGGGTGTAGATTACTTTACGAAATAGATAGAAGCCGAGGCCCTTGCAAAAATCACCTCCCACAACATCCTCCGCTTCTATAAACGAAACGTTCTCGCCCGATTTAGAATCCCGCGGACGCGGATCACAGATAACGGTACCCAATTAACCGACCAAGGCTTCCGAAGCTTCGTCGCCAAACTAGGGACCAAACAACATTTCACCTCAGTCGAGCATCCCCAACCCAACGGGCAAGCCGAGGCCGCCAACAGGGTCATCCTGCAAGGACTCAAACGCCGACTGGGCGAAGCAAAAAGGGGGTGGGTCGAAGAACTACACAGCGTCTTATGGGCTTACCGCACCATACCCCACTCGACGACGGGCGAGACCCCTTTTCGACTAACATACGGCATCGAGGTCGTCATCCCCATAGAAATCATGAAACCCTCCAGGCGGACAGAGATGCCTCTTGACGAAGAAATGAACGACGAAGCCCTTAGGGACGAACTCGACCTGGTCGAGGAAATTCGATTAGGGGCAGCCCTGCACGAGGCCGCTCTGAAACAACGAGTAGCCCTCTGTCACGACAACAAGGTCATTAGACGCGAGTTCCAGATCGGCAGCCTAGTCTTGTGAAGAAACCAGAAAGACTCCTGCGAAGGGAAATCGGCAGCCTACCGCGTTCAAGGCGCTACAGGCACCGGAGCGTATTACCTCGAGCAGTTAAACGAAGAACCATTACCACGACCCTAGAATGCTGCTAAGTTAAAACAGTACTATAGCTAAAGCCCTCAACCGCTGTGGACTTTTACGGTCGAACATTCACCCTTAGCCAACGAGGGGAAAAGTCTCGACCACGTAGACGAGTCGAGGTACGGACCCGACCTACCAACCACCGAGTGGCATACTGTCGTTCACCCAATATACCGAACGTCAATGCCCGGCAGGGACACCTCGATCGAGCAACACTTTCTACATTCTATTAACATCAACACATGATTAAAATAAATAAGAGAAAAGGCAAAATTGGCTACTTGAGAAATAATAGAATTATAGCTTTCTATTCATTAACCATAAATAAACATATAGTATCAGGGTGCATGAATAGACTATTCCATTCTCTGGTATCTCCGCTAGCTTCAGCTGCTTTCGTCTCTTCTTCTATTCGTTGTTTGAGAGTTTTTATTCTTTGGTCATTGGAAACGAAAACGGTATTTCTATGATAGTATCACTCTCATGCATCCTTAACACGTAAAATCATACGATCCAGACACGTCTTCAAATACAGACGTGTCAGTGCTTAATAATTTTTTAAAGGCAGGTAGTAGAGAGAGAAGAGTTACCAAGTCCAGCCAAAATAGTAGTTGAGCTAAACTTCCAAAATAAAAGAGTTGAGCTAAACGGTCAAGGTTTCTTAGTGCATAAATGTGTGACTACATACATGAAATAGTAACTATGTTTACACGTGGTTTGATATATTTTGAAAAAGAATATAAGTACTTTTTTCACTGTCCTTGAATAATATTCCACACGTTTGTAAAAAACATCTTCCCACCTACAAATGTTAACTCTTGCACAATGAGCTTAAAAAGGGAAGAAGAAGAATCTAAAACAGCTTTTAAAATAAAGACTCGACGGTAAAAATAAGAAAGGGGTCAACAAATTGCTTGACTACAATTAAAAAGATGTGATGTCAATCGGGGTTACCAAAAATCAGCTTATTAATTCTTCAGCAAAAGATTAATAGGTAAGTTAAGATGGGGCAGGGGAACTTAATAAGTAACACAAGATTAATATCTTCAAGTTGATTACTTCAAATTACCCGGTCCCAGCCATTCAGTGAAATTGTATCAGAATCAGCAGCAAACCATCCCTCCATTCTGCATAAATACCACTGATGTACTTTATGGGCAAGCCCCTCCAGCCTGCACTCGAAAGTGAAAATCATTTTATTTTACTACAGGGTGTCAAGGAAATTTAAGTTTACGCATTGGTAACCTTAATTCTGACTTCCTTTCAAAAACAATTGAAAGACTGCGTTGTATGGACGTGTCTTCAATGAATTCATTTCTTACTTTATTTGTCTGCAGCTCCACGCAAGGCTATTTTGTATTTCAATATATATCTCCTGTTTTGCATTAGAATTCAAGATTCATGTATTGACTTAAAAATATAATAACTATAGCTGCTCCAACTATAAGAGTCATAATATCTCCATTCGTTTTCACATTAATAGTCGAGTCGACTGCAGTTGCGATCTGTTCATGTTCAGCTCCCATATATTCTGCAATTTTAAGGCAGTGAGAGGCTACTAAAGAAGCTGCAGCATAAGCCATATCATTAGGCTTTAGATTCATGTCCAACTACCTTTCCCTACTTTCTGCAATCCAACCAAGAACAACGTATGCTCTTCCTCCATCCATGGAATTCCAGATCCATTCAAAAATTCATACACAAATCAATAACATTAATCACGTTTTAATTTCAACCAATTTAATCAACATCGACTATTATTGGATTAAATAATAGTAAATTCTAACAGAAAAAAGTTAACCGGTCGGAGATAAATGATCGAACCTCGTTTATGCTCACGGCCGCAGTTCATGCCGAAGTTAATCGGAACAGCGTTAGCGGAGGAGTAACCGACAGTGATAACGTCTTTGTTACTATCGTCATTGATATAGTAATGGATGTGACCTGAGAACAAAATGTATTTATACTAATACAACAAATGCATTGGATGAATCTGTTGATGGGACTTTGTAAATCTGAAAATTAATATACAAAGATATGGTTCCATAAGTTTTCATGTAAAGTAAACTCCCATAAACTGCAATAAATAACAAACCCCTAGTTCAATAACTAATAAGAAAGCAACCTTTACCATGGTAACCAAATGCAGAATCACAAACAAAAATCATTTACACAAGTCTTTATTGTACCAACTCTGTTTAACACAATAAAATAGTATAGATAAAGATCAAATTTTAATGTGCATCAGAGGCCTTTCAATCCTCAGACCATGAAACGCAACAACGACACCCACTGTGTCACTCCTGCCTTTCTTCAAACACATGGAGGGCAAGCTCAGACATGCCTTAAATCGGTAAAATGAAACATGAAAGTGGGCAAAACATTTGATAAATGAAACACAGAATATACCCTCAGACAATCCAATCTCACTTCTTGAAGAACAATCACATTTCCTCAAGTGTTTTCCAGCCGCAATGTGGGTTCGTTGTCGGAAATCTATGACATTGAAAATGAGATGAAGTTACAAAATTTTTATTATCAACCATAAAATAATGAAGTACAAAATTGCATAAAATAAGACGAGCACATACTTAGAATATCATTATACATGCCAAGGTACTCGACATCGTGCACAATGAATGAGATCAAAAACACCGTTCGGTAGAATATAGGTCAATCATTCAAAACCCATCCCAGTGTCAACATGCTTTGCAGGCAGGGATTTAAGAGAGCCGTCAGCCTCCCTATTGAACTGTGATGAGACAAACAGAATCATATCAGATACAATTTTATGGAGATAGGAAAAGTTTGCATGTTGATTATAGTACCGACTTAACAAAAATTTATACAGCATGATCCCCACGTCAGAGAAAAACATGGAAAAAGTAGAGGAAATTAAAATCACTCAGAGCGAATCGTTTTGCATAATAATTACCAAAAATTCAGCACCTTGAGTGGATGACCTTGGATCTTGTTCGGCAGCTGAATTACTGTATAGCGACAAAAAATCATGCGTCGGTTTCCTCCCTGCTTCTGTTCCACATAGAAAAAATAAATCATAAAATCTAATCCTGACGAGAGTGGGTGTCTTGTTCGTCGTTTGCGTTTCAACTCCCACCACCACCAGCCAATGAAAATGCCCGCCGCTAAGAAATTACAATTGACGAAGATGATGAAGAAAAGGGGAAATAAAGAAGATGAGGAATGTGGATTTGAGAAAAGAATAGGAATCAGAAAGATTTGGAATGTTGCAACGGAAAGATCTGAGAAGGGGATAGGAATCGGAAAGATGAAGAATAGGGATTTGAGAAAATAATCGGAAAGAACGGGGATTTGAGAAAAAATTAAACAGCAAGGTGATGATTGTAACCGTCATTACCACGTAGAGGAAAAAAATAAAAATGGTAGTGGAAGATTGATATGAAATAGATTGAAATAAGTAAATAAATAATTCTAGTCACGTGTTGTGTTTTTGGAACAATGTTTGGGTAGAATGAGTTTTCTTATATTATAGATTTCTCTTTACACTCTTCTATTGTGAAAACTTCAAAATCCTTTTAAATTTATTTGGAGTTACAGCTCCGAAAGCATTAAATATCATATTTTGTTTAAACTTAATTTGGAGATATATCTCTAAATAAATCATTAATTAAATTCATAGATACGTAATTGAAAATACCTTTTTCATTTAAAAATTTTTTTTAATCACTGAGTAATATTTTGGGAGATGTATTTCTGAAAAGGTCCAGCGGAAACTTGAATATATGACCACCTTGCATGATCATGATCATCTTTCTCACTCTTCAAACTCCTCCATATAAAAAAAAACCTAAAAATCATTTCCAACCAACTTTTCAATTCAAAACCAAATTTTTTGCATTTTAACACATCAAAGAGAAGAAAATAAGCTGCAATTTAGGGTAAAGTTCCCTCATTGCTTGCATTTAAATTAAGGGTGGCATATTGATATAACAAAGTGATATGTTCAAAACAACTCAATACTTGGTCACCTTCTTGCATCTCCTTTGGCTTTACTTTGGAGTTGAATCTTTCAACGACTATGTGCTTGATGTTTTATAGGTCAAAAAGAATCAAGAAGAATATTGACTTTCTAAATATAGAGATAATTTAAGAAGATTTGATTGAAGACCTTGTTTGTAGATTTGCACCAACCGAGAATTTAAAAGATGTAATCATTAAGGTTGTGAGATGGTCATTGTGTTCTCCTCGAAGTTGTGAAGCAAAAATGAGTATTGTTCTTGGAGGAAGCTTTGAAGCAACTCCAAGTTGTGGTCTTAGTCAAGAGTCTTGAGACTAGTGATTCGCATGGAAGTGTGCCTTCCTATTGAGGAGGTATACTGACTACAAGTGCACAGTCTAATCACATAATTTTAAAAAGAGTATATTCAAGTTTAATGAAATATTCGAAATAAAGGATACTAATATGTAATACATCAGACAGGGATTCGACTAACCATTGGACTTTGTTTTAAAAAATATTTTTCACTAGAAAATAATAATTTAAAAATCCTTATCTCACACATTGACTTAGACTATATTCTTAACTCTAAATACTTGTTATCGTTGTCTCATTCAAATTTTAAAACACTTTTTAGAAATCAATGAAATTTGAGTAATCCTAAATGTATTTAAAATCAATATTCAATTACTATTATCTTATTAAAAATCTCAAACTCCGGTTGTTTTGATTTTAACCTTTGTTCGTGTTTTCCTCTCGAAATAAAATTATTTTAATATTTTAATTAGAAATCAAAACCAGAAAAATAATTTGTAAATATTTGTCCAATAGATTTCCAAACCCCTTCGGTTAGCTTACTTTTAAGTCGGACATGCTTTTAAACATAAACATATAATACAAAAAGTATATTATAAATCTAAATATGATTACTGAAAATTAGAGACAATAAAAATAAACTAAATTGAAACCTAGAATTAAAACAAACATTGAAATATAAACTGAAAGTTTCAATTCTGCAATCTCCAAAGATGTCAACCGGATCTGCTTCTTTGAAAATACAAGGATGAATGCTAAAATATAAATCTAAGACTAATGTTCCAATAGCTCCCCAATATGGAAAACTATCACTTTAATGGTAAATTTAAAGCTTAAAATCTAAAGCAAAAATGCTCTGGTCTCAAGTAAATTGGATGGTAAGCCTTGCCCCTTTTTATAGAATCCTTCCTTAATTCTCTTAACTTCCCCCACGAGAAGAATCTAGAGTGTCTTGTTTCATGGAATAGTTTCAGGGAAGCTACTTCCTGTTTCCTTGAGTTTTCTTTGTCAATTTCTCTTCTTTTCTTATGCAAGCTTTGTAGAAGAAAAATATTTGAAATAAAATAACACTACCAGCATAAAATGACATAAATAATTAAAAACTGTAGAATAATTCATGGAGTCAATAAAAAATACAATGAAATTTTGTATTATCAAACTCTCCTACACTTAAACCTGAAAATAAATTTAAACATGGATTCAACACAAACACACGAAATAACTCAAATCATAAGGGATTTTATTAGACAATAAAAGGAGAATGGCTCAGAAAAATAATGGGTATGAGAAGAATATCAGCACTTAAAAATCAGAGTGGTGCATGACTATCTCTATAATTCATCATAGCCAATAAATTAAAACAACGAAAGCAATTAGATCTTGGGTGATTTCAAAACATAATCTTGTATGCAAATGTCGAACTGTAAAATGTAAATTGTTAAGGAGTATTGTCTCAGACATCCAAGGAAGGATAAAAACAGCATTAACTCTCAAGCCTGGCGAAGGCGAAAGTTCTTGGTCGGCCACTGCGAATGTTTTGAGAAACAAGCCTTCAAGCATATCATCATAGACAATATTTAAGATTATAATATCACTAACAAAAAATATAGAGAAAATCAAAAAGAAACATAAGATGGAGATAAATACAACCAAAGAGGACTCAGAAAACAGTATTGTCGGCAAGATCAAAATCTGACCAATTACGACGAACGAGACCTTTAAAAGGAATCATCACTGTCCAGTTTGTGTTTCAGATACCAAAATATCATAATCATGTTTTGAACAACGAATAAGAAGCTAAAATCTAAATGAGAGAGTTAAAATGAAAACTTTGGAGAGGGATTGGAGAAGCCTATAATGCAATTGGAAAACAAACTAGTTTATGAGGATTTGATTTAGCGGCTATGTTATGTGAGATTGAGAAGGTGAGAGTTAGGGTTTTAAAGAGTTTTGTTTTGGTCACCGGGTTGAGTTTGGCCCAAAAGTAAGCATCTGGGTATGGTGGGTATGGGCTTTTTGTATAAAAAATCATAGATATTTTTCGGCCAATTCCAACTATACATGGAGAATTTAATCTATCATCCCCGTATTATACCGTTACACTCTTATCTAAAATTATCGATTTTAATAAACTAGGAGGATGTAATTTTGTAAAAAAGATATAAAAGTATTGAAAATAATTTTTGAGAGTAAATTAATAAAATTAATGTATATTTGTTTTTATTTTAGAATATTTTTGTCTAGGAATGATTTTATATATGCACACATCAACAAGAGGTAGAATTAGAAATCAAATATAATTCTTTGTGTCAACAAAATTAAGGAGGTGTCGAAATATCTTAGTGTGTTGAAGGAGTTAGTCTCGACGGAATTTTGACTTATGTTTATTTTTGTAAATTTAGCAAAATTATGTTATTTGGAATTTGTTTAGGAAGCAAGCAAACTCAACCTATAAATAGCATAATTGAATAAATTCTCTATTGAGAAGTAGAGAAAAACTCTGAAGAAATATTCATCTTCTCCCTTTTCGTTCATGAAATCATAATTCCATTTCTTTCCCAATTCATATTTTCTTTTCTCCTTATCTATTTTCGTTGTGCAACAAGAATCCCCTTGCAACCAAGGTTGGTTGATTCACTCAAGTGAATAATGATGAACAAGAGGCAACCAAGATTGATTCAGAATTCTTCATATGTTTGGTGTAACTCCAACATCTGGTATATAGAGCATTGGCTGAGCGATTCGTGGGAAGCAAAATGTGATGGAAATGAATCATCTGAATGGAAAATTTCCAGCGAGTCTCCCAATTATGAAGAATCAAAATTATGAGAATTATTGTAAGCAGATGAAGATTGTGTTATGTTATCAAGGTCTTTGGGATCTTGTGAAAGAATGAGTAACATTGCTTGCAGAAAACGTGACAGGTGAATAAAAGGTTGCATACACAAAATTGAAGAAGAAAGATTATAAAGCTCTCTTTTATAATTCATCAATGCATTGATCTAGATAATTTTGGAAAGCTAAGTGATGTATACTCAGCAAAAGAAGCATGGGAATTTTTGGAGAAATCATTTAGAGGCACATAAAAGGTGAAAGAGGTGAGATTACAAACTCACAAAAGAACATATGAATTGATTTGAATGGAAGAAAGTGAATGCATGACTTGGTTTCTTCACTAGGGTTACATAACCGGTGAATCAAATCAAGGTATATGGAGAAATATTGACATCAAGATCAGTTGTTGTAAATATATTTAGGTCATTGGCTCTAAAGTTCGACCATATGGTAGTAGCCATAGAAGAGTCGAAAGATTTGTCAGCATTGACAAAATAAGAGCTTAAGGGACGCTTGAATCTCATGAACAAAGAATAATTGAAAGAGCTACAAGCAAGTTGAATAGTGATGTGGCTTTGCAAGCACAATTAGTAAAAGAAAAGAACTAGTAGTGGCAATGTCGTCGTACGAAGCAGGGTACATGACTGCTTCTCTTTGTGCATGTCAAGCAACATGGATGGTGAATTTAAGGTATCAATGATGTTTTGATTATGAGGAAAGATGGCAAAAGGTCAGTAATTTCCAATGTATTTGTACATATCAGGCATGAGAAGTAATTTTCTCAACATAGGGAAGTTGGTTGAAAAGAACTAATAAGTGTTTATTGAAGATAAGATGATGAGAGTTCCTGACTCAAGAGGGAGGTTAATCATCAAAGCTCCTATGTCTCATAATAGAACCTCCAAGATTGAACATAATATGATGGAGCACAAGTGACTTGCATTTTCAACTAGCGTGGATAAATGGATATGGCACTATAGACTTGGCCATCTCGACTTTAAAGACATCAGATATTTGAAGAGAAGAAACATAGTTTCAGGGTTACCAGAAATCGACATTACAAATTAAGTATGTGAAGAATGTGTGCAGGCAAAGTACTCAAGAACAACTTCAACAAAGATGCAGGAAGTAAGTTGAAGGAAATTCTTGAAGTCATATACTTTAATGTGTGTGGACCAAACCAGGTGAATTTGATTGGAGGTAATAGATACTTTGTCACAATCATAAATGATTTTAGTAGAAAATTATGGACTTACCTGATCAAGAAGTGAAGTGATTGAGTTATTTGCCAAGCTTAAATCTATGGGTGAAAGACAAAATGA